GAAAAATAATAAAATTAATAATATGAGGAATATAATGAAATTGAAAGCAATCCCATGCACCTAGTCTGCACCTGCCCAGAATTGCCAGGCACCTCTCCCCTGTTCTGATATGCATGTACTTATCTTGTAGAGGTACACTCATGCATATGGTTTAGAGTTGTAAAATAACACTGAATTAGAGGGTAAGAGCAAAACGGGCCAGAAGATGGCCTGTGAACTTTCTAGCAACAATTATCCTTGTTAAGTAAATAAAACCAAGACCACACTGAAATCAACTGTTAGAATCATGTTGGAGTACATCATATGCAACTAATTTTCTGATCTGCAGGGTATTTACAACCGATGCTTTCCTTTGTGTCATTCCTAGAAATCTACACAGTACAAAATGGTATTTTTAAAATGCTGTTTATGCTGAAATGTTGGACTCCGGGGTTCTGAGACATGCAAAAAAATTGATCCTTTGAGTTTTGTTCAGTGTGATCTCAGGCAAACAAGCAACAGCATTCTTGTGTGTCTGCTATAAATGCTCTTTGAACTATAATCCTGAAAACAAGTGTGTTATTGGGTAACTTTGGCAGCATATGTTCCAAAACCTAAACATGTTTATCTCTTGTATTTTATAGTTGCTAACTGAAGGGTCAGCTGAGTTAGCCCAGCACTGAAGATACCGCTCTGAGCTTATGATAGTAATGCATTTTAAATCACTGCAGAAGGTCTTGTACAGGACTCTGCCTTTCTCTGAAATCTTGGGGCAAATTTTGATCTTTTTTGTACAGGTAGAATTTATTTAATGTTCTGTACTCCAGAAAACCTAAAGATCTTGTATGAAACAGCCAATAATCTTTACTTTAAATTGGGGTTTCGGCTCTTCTGTGATCTATTCCCATTGCTTGTGTGAAGCAAACGAGTAGAAATTATTCACGTCCCCTTGGCAATTTCCCACTAGGTCTTCAGCATGCAGCTACATGTTAGAAGTCCAGTGATCCTGGATAACCCGTGATGTGCAGACGATCACTGCCAGCCATCCCTGCGCTGTCTTACAGAGTCACATGTGTTCATGGGAAGACATAAGAGACTCAAGTGCTTCTGGTCTCTCCTCTGCCAGGGGCATCCCAACTTCATCTGAAAATCTGGCACAGCCTCTGACTGTGAGCCACCAATTTCATGCTGGGATTTGGACATGGGCAGAAAGCAGTAGATGGGGGTAACTGTGCTCTTAACTGAGGATATTTACACACATAAGGACCCAGTACCCTGATGAAGTTAAATATTGAAATCCCATATTTTACAGGACTATTGTTTCTGCAGCTTGACTTCAGCAGGTGACTATAGTAAATACACATTGCCTCTGTCAGAGTTGTTTTGCTGTGATGCTCTGGGCAGTCTTTCCAGTAACTATTCCTCTGATGTTTAAATAAATAATTGCTTGCCAATTACACCATCGGGGCAGCACACAAACTAAGCTCTTTGTAGATCTTTTGCACAATGTAAGTTCATTGTGTGTGTGGAGTCCTTTGAAATTACGTCTGTGATTTCACCAGGGTCCTAACTTTGTGGTGTTCTTCAGTACAAATTCAAAAGAGTTTGCCAATAATCCTTTTGAGAGACATCTGTCACCTGCAGCGCATCCAGTATTTGTCACCAGTCCTCTTTCCTGCAAGCCTGAGGGGCACCACAGGAAATTAAAGCATTCATTGGGCAGCAAAGAAATGGAAGGATAAGGAATAGAAAGAAGATTAGAGGATTAAATAAAACTGTACACTCCTCCCTCCCTCCTCCAGACATTCAATATTCTTCTTCTTCTCTGTTGGAAGTGTAGCCATCAGCTCTATAAACTTAATTGTTGTTCTTCCTTTCTCTTGGTAAGGCTGGAAAAGAGTAGAGCTAGTTGACTTTGCAAGAAGCAGAATGCCAGAGACCCAGGCAAGTAAATAAAATTATCCTTCCTAAAAATTGGGACTGGCCCAAGGATGACTTTCATAAATTTTTGTTAGCACTTTGCTCTAATTTTTGTAAATACCCCAACCACATGAAGGAACCTTTTCAAACTGAGCCGAATAAAGCAAATAGAAAACCTCTTTCTCAGATTTTTCAGCCACTGTCAAGTACTCCATTTATAAAATCTCGCTATCATGACAAAAACCCACCGAGCTCTCATCTCATGCCAGCTGCCAGTTGTGCAACACCCTACTGAAGCTAGACTGCCACTGACCCTGCATTTCTTTCACCATATCCTACCTTTAGCCCACTTTCACTTTGCAAATCTGTTCAAGAATTCATATTTATTATTCAAAATAAGAGCACAACATAAGAGCAACCATCTTGAGTCAGGTCAAAGTTCTATCCTAGTCACCTGGGGGTAGGGCACGAGTTGCAAGACAAACATGCAAACTTCTCTTTTCCACTTTCTAATGGTACGCTGCTTAAGAAATTCTAGAGCTACAATCAATATCTTTTTACTACTTTGTAGCAAATATTTGTTCCATGAGTTTGAGTAATTATGTTTGAAACTAGCTAACTTTTGGAATCCACAATATCCTCTGAAAATGAGTTCCACAGTTTAAATAGATGGAAGTTGTAAAAATTATTTTGTTATGTTCGGGGTTTTTTATACAAGTTGATACTTCAGCATTTCATTTGATCCCTTCTGGTTCTTTTGCTTTAGCTCATTTAGATCTGTTTTGTAACAACTCACTTCAGCTTGCCTGGAAAGGAAAGAAAATAGGGGTGTTCTGGATCTCACAGGATTAGACCCAACAAAAATTTTGTCAATGGGAACAGCATGCACCCCATGGAGCTGGGAGCTAGCAAAAGCCCCAAAGGGAGAAGAGGGCAGAAACTCTAGTTATTAATAATCATCAGGCAAAGCAGTTTTATAAGAAAGCAGGTTATATTCCCTGCCACACTCACAACAAACATCTGCAGCTCTCTAGCAACAGAACCATTTTACCACGGGAACTTTGCTTTCCATTCTTCCCAGAAATCAAAAAGAGAGAGAGAAGAAAAAAAAAAATAATTCAGTACTTGAGAAAAGAATGCTTGTGCTGTAGCCACCATCAAAAGTTTCTTTTCACAAACAGCAAAATGGGTTAGATTCTTTTCCTAAGCCATCCAGTCTGGGCTTTTAATTGTTTTTCACTTTGGTATTTTACCTGCCTTTCAATACCATACAAATCTCATGTGCAATGCTATTTTGTTTCTAGGCTAAAAAATCAATTTATTCCCATCTGAGTACACTGGCAGATTTTGCAATAGAGATGTTTGACGTTCTTGATGAAATCAACTATCAGTCTTACAACGACTTTGTCCTACGAGTTGGTAAGTCACATTTCTACAATTATCACATAAGCAGAACATTATTGTTTGTTGGCTTTCCCTGTGCTGTCTGCAAAGCATTACCTGTCCTGCACTCATGATTAAAACTGAAAAGCCCCTTTTAGTGGGAGAGTCACATCCATGTAAAAGGTCAGTGGGCTGGATGGTGAGCATCAGTATTGAGGAATTATAATTGTGTCTCATTCGAGTGTGTTTTCTTAATCTACACACCCCTAAAAGGAAACTGCACCAATAATTTTATACAATATTATTAGTGTACCCAGTCTTGTGGCTTACAGTACTTTGCACTGCTAAACTGCTGAAAACTGGATCTGATTGTACTTAACTATTAAGTTGCATCTGCAAAAGCTTTGTTGGCATTAAAAGCATGACGTGATCTTTTTGTCCACAGATACCAAATGACCTCAACCAGTCCTGTTTTCTCCAGCAAATCAAATCAAATCCTCTGGTCTTCACAACAGAAATCTTCTCATGCAATTCTTTGCATGTTATTACATGTCTTACCATGTTTCTCCCAGCCTTCTTAGAGAGCAAGTTGTCCCTTTCCTTTCCTTTCCTGCATTTCTCTTCTCTCTAATGGTACTTCCATGGCTGTTCTCATTTCATTGCATATTCTAACACAGTTTTCTCCATCTTCTTTCTCTACATATTTTCGTGGTTGAATTGTGAGAATGGGCTGGACAAGGGGAGAAGTGAGGTTGCTTGCAGCGGAAGACTGAGAAAGACCAAAGACATCAAGGGTAGCGACAGGAGAGTTACACATCTTTGCCTTCCTGTACATCCTATTAATTATAAACCCCAAATTCTCTTTGAATTATGTTATAACTGGTCTTTCCAGGTTCAGAAAGGGGCAGAAGACACATACCTAACCCCCATTCTTCTGCATAACTTGCCTGGGAAAGACCTTGCACAGAATCTCATGGAGGGTTTAACATCTGCAGCTCTTCAGGGCACTCAGAAGAAGGAACATCCTCTTTTGTCTTCCAAATGAGGTGTCGAAATCAGTCAGAAATGTAGAATCAAGCCCTGTGGTTTCCCAAAAAAAGATGCTTGAGCCATTTTCACATACTCTTGTCTTCCTCCAGTGTCTCCCTGATCTGAGTTGTCTAGTACTGACAACCAATGTGTCACACTTCCCTTATCCCATTCCTTCTGTCTTCTAGGTCACTATTCCTGTTCCACCTCGAAAACCTCCATTAAAAGGTTTTATATGAGCAACTACAGTGGAAGTCATGGCAAACAATTAAAGATCTTTAACAGCTTGTCCTGAATTGTTCTACAGCTAAACTCTGCGCTACCACTGCCTTTCTTCTTTTCTTAAAGCAAACAACAAAAGAAAATCCACAGATGAGCCAAATTTTTATATCCATCATATTGCATTTCCAATAAGATACCTCTGTGCATGTCTTTATTTTGTTTCTAGACCTCTTACAAATACAGAAGTCTAATTGGCATTAATTTAACATATATTATGTCCTATGACCAGAAGAATTCTAAGGCACTTGTGTTAAATCTGTTCTGCAGGATTCATGTTTCCCTTGGATAATATGCTGTAGAGTTTGAAACCAAACTCATTGTTTTGATTTTAGGTATTAATGTTGGGCCAGTGGTGGCTGGAGTCATTGGAGCCAGAAGGCCACAGTATGATATCTGGGGGAACACTGTAAATGTTGCTAGCCGGATGGATAGTACTGGAGTGCAGGGGAAAATTCAGGTGAGTGCATTCTGAGACAATTTTGCAAACTTTATGTACCTCCTGTTTTATATGTAATTATATTTTTAAGACCACTTAGAAAACGCAGCCTCACTTGACCTTGTGGTTCTTATGAAAAGGGCAACATTCTCCAGATGATTCAAGCATCAGAGGTATAGTTGTTTTCCATTATGTACGCTTCACTGCTCTGAGGCAATGAAATCCTCAAATAAATCATTTCCCATCAGAAGAAACCCAGTTCTCTGCTGCATTGCACACAGTTGGAGGCAAGCCTGGGAATGCCAGCACTGCATGGGCCAGTCCTTGTGCTGTAGGAATTTTGCCTGAATAAGGACTACAAGGAAAGGATCTATGTCCATTTTCATCCTGCTGCATTTTATGTAGCTTTAAAAATTCCTTGGATACTTTGGATCAGGGAGGCTACACAGAGAGAGAATATTGTTGCTCCACTGGAGCTTGGCTAGAAGCTATGCTGCACCTCTCAAAATCTCAATGAGCTCTTGCAGTCCTTTATCCAAAATACCTGTCTAGTCTCCAGGGATCAAAAGTTCTTCTGGAGTAAATTAATGTCACTAGAACTGATCCAGCTTACAACAGCAGACAATTTGGGTACTGTTGGATGGAGCTTAATCTGGCTGTGTGAATATTCAGCTCAAGACCAGAAGTTCTGGTTCTCAGGTTCCAAATTGGTCAATGAGCTTTAGTCCCTTAAGAAAATTTTAAGTGAGCCCGAGAGCAGCAGTAGGTGCTAATTCGTTCTGCTTCTGCATATTTCATGACAGAGAAGTAAAATGGTGAGAGGTGGGCAGTTCTAGGATTAATCTTGTATGAACAGGAAAAACTAATAGTTCTTTTTTTTCTGTCTTCAGGTGACAGAAGAAGTTCAGAGGATATTAAAAAGGTGCAGTTATGAATTTGTGTGCAGGGGTAAAGTCAGTGTAAAGGGAAAAGGTGAAATGTTGACCTATTTCCTGGAAGGAAAGGCTGATGGAAATAATTCACAAACACGATCTTTAAACTTAGAGCGGAAAATGTACCCTTATGGGAGAGCAAACATTCAAACAAAACTGGGCACCAGCTGTCCGTCGGTGTCCTCAGTTGCTAGCTTTACTGTAAAAGCTGGGCTTGGAGCAGGTCAAGCGTCTGCCACTCACACAAATCAAACACTGCATTATCTTCCTTCTGTGCCAGCTGTGAAGGAGGCGTAGAGCAAAGGAGATTTGGTTGTGCCATTTGCAGTGAACTTGGAGAGCAATGGTTGCCTGAATTTTTACCAAGAGATCAGAGGTCATAGGCCATGGCATTAACCAAGGACCACTACAACCCAACCAAAGAGAACTTGGGGACTGTGTAACGAACTCTTGGGATGGAACATATAAGGGCTAGCAATTCTGTTAGGAAAAATCAAAACCTGATTTTCTGGAAATGAGGAATATTTTCTTGGCATTTTTAAAGGATAAATGAAAAAAAATTAGATAAACGTGCAAGCAATTATTTATGTGTGTGTGTGTATATATATGTTTTAATCTATATATGCACATATACAAACAGTCCTGTGTAGAGTTAATAGAGATTTATAGAGATAAACATAAAAATATGTATTTATTTACACTTCCACCTGCAATGACATAGCAAAGAGTTTTCTCTTTCTGTCATAGCCAGCATTGTTGGGCCAGGGATTAGCAAAGCTGCATTTAACTGTGGAGTGTGGGGCAGCTGGAGACTCTCCAGGGCTACAGCAAGAGTTAGAGAAACTGTGCTCCCAGTGCATGAGTTAAAGCAATGAGAACAGTGTGCATTGAGCTGCCAATGGCAGATTAATGAAAGCTGGATTCAGCTAATTGCTAAATCCTATCTATTTTTTTAAATTATCCTTGCATGCTCCAAAAAATTCCAAGAAATTCCAGTTCAAACCATAACACTATGATACGAAGTAGATAAACCACAGAGCTTAAAGGTTTGGCAGAAGAACAATATATATTCTTTCTACTAAAAAAAATAAAGGGTGGCAGAGTTTAGAAGCTGCTGCCTCTTCACAGGTCACTCGACTCTGTGCAAGACAAAGGAGCCACCCTGCAAGCACAGCAATATGCTTATGCAATATAGAAACATTCCTTTATGTACAGTGCTGATTTTATTGAAGAGCAGAAGGACGGTATTATTTCAGGCTTTTACAAACAGCACAGGTCCTGTGGTTCAGTTCCAGGATTTAGCTTTACCTTTCTAAACAGCTCAAAGAATAGTCCTGTACTGGTGACAAATACGCTATTGCTAGCTTTGTGACATTTGTATGTTTGCCAATAGAGTCTTAATTGATTTTTAAATTTATGCCACAGTTTTATTATATCTTGATTCTACCCAGGCTTACTCTTCAAAGCTGTACAATTATAGAAAGCTATAATTCTGAGAAACAAGCACAGTCAAACTTTGCCCAAATGAGGAGCACACTGGTAAATGTGCCAGGAGAGTGAGGCCTGCTCTTAATCTGCATAAAAGGGAACATATTTTGACTGCTTTTTCCTTTAATGCAGCCCACATCCTATTGTTCATGGTTTCATCTCGAAACGCTGATCTGGATGTGAAATGTGGAGTGCAGCTCCGTACGTGAGGTGAGGGCAGTTGGAGGTCATCCTACCGTGAGACACATGCTCCACAGACAAGTGCCATACTGTCCTGGTGGGGATGCACAAGCTAACCAGCCTCACTGCTTTCCAAAACAGAAGCAAAACTTTATGTTGTCTAAAAACATGCAAAACTTCCTTTTAACTAAAAAAAAAAAACCAAAACCAAAAACCCCCAAAACCAAACCCCAAACCCAAAAAACCCACACAAGACTGCAGAAGTTGTCCAGATTGTACAGTAGAAAACTTGCGTGTACTAGATGTCAAATTTCCCTTTGACAGGCCTATTTTGTTACTGCTTTCAGTAGAAATAAGATTCTGAGCAATTCTATGCTTAGGAGTAGTCACTGTTTGTGTTAAAAGTATATAGAGAAATACTGTGTCAACAGATGCAAATAGTTAAAGAAATGCTGCAGGAGTTCCCATTCTCCATGTAGCTGTATCAGGCTGCTATGGGGCTCCAGTGGTTTTCAGCAGGGTTTTTAATTAATTTTTATGTACCCTGTCAGCTAGGTGCTTCATTACAAAGCTAGCAAAATTAGTGTTGTGATTAAAGTAACTATAAAAAAAAAAGAGAATTGCTTCCTAACAGTACTAGGTGTATGCACCCTGGCTGATCTGTGGCCAGCCACTGCATTTCTTTATCTCCCTAACAGCTACCAGTTCACAGGTATTCTTCTAGAATAATTTAATTCTGGTTTTGAGGCATTCAAAATGATATAATAAATACAGGTAGAGAATATAGATTTAAAAGAAAAAATATTTACATAATTAAACTGAGTAAGTGGTATCCATGTAAAGCACACTGCATATTTATGTTTTCTAATAGGTTTGTAAGAACTAAACCGTCACACAGGTAAGTTAAATATTTAACCAAAATGGAAAGCATTATGTGCAATAGCATTAATCACTCAGTTCCACTCACAAAGAGTCCAAGTTACACAATTTTTGAATCAGTGAATTTGGTATATTTTCACTGATAATAACAAAACATTATTTTTACATGTACTGTTATTAAAAGCATCTTCAGATTCTAGCAGTAGATCTGGTAGTATGTGAACACGTAGACCAAATACAGCCCTTGAGCCACCCCAAAAGCTTACAATGAAATTATTTCTTTGTTGCTTTTTTAATAGGTCCAAGATATAGGCATATTGCCATTGTTTCTTTTATCACTAAATGGACAGTCAGCAGAAATGAAGTGTCCCCTGTGCTAATATTTTTGGGACTGTTCTTATTCCCAGACTCATTCTCAGCCTAGTCCTGGAGTAATGTCAGTGGAAGATCATGTAGCAAGGTAAATTTGGATTATTCATTTTAATATTTTAAATGATCAGCAGGTTCTAGTAGCATTACTCCAAAGTTTTTCTAAGCCTGATCCTCCTCTCCAACAGTCAAATGAGGTACGCGAATTTTGTAAGAATGTTTTCCATGTTAAATGGAAATGACCAGACAGGCGCAGTCCATCATCAGCTTCTTATTCAGCCTTTTTGCTGGAGGTCTGTGCCTCCAGAGCAGGGTGAGTGGACCAGGATGGCTTCTTGGTGCTGCAGCATGCGTACGCTAGCTTACATCATTAACAATGGTGTATTCGGAATCAGTTTCCAGACTTTGTTGGAGTCCTACCATTAAAATTTTTCCTATTTTTGTTGTGGTTGTTGTTGCTGGTTTTACGACAGGGAAACCTGTATTTTACTATGTAGTCCTGGACTGAGCAGTACAGAATCATGAAGAAAGTTCAACCAAGGCACAAATCAGTAAAAAACCATGTGAAAATGATAGGCAGTGTTCAGTAGCCATTCCAACAGGGAAAACTAAATGCTTGTTGAAATCGTGATATAATGAAGCTGTGCTCCTGCCTTTATGCTTTCCCTCCCTATTCATATAATTTTCCTCCATTTTCCTTTTCTGTGTACATTTGTTTTATTTTGGCTCTAAATGACAGATTTAATCTTTCTGCTCTTCTGTGTTCTTTGATATGTTCAGTAAGTTTTATACATGGAAAGAGGTAGTAGTAATACTTCCGATAACCCCACAAATGCACATTTTCTGCCAAATTAGAGAAGCTTATCATTAAATTTTTATTGGCAATTGGCTGAAGATAATATGTGGCCCACTCCAATATCCCTGAAAATCATCAGGATTTCCTTGGATTTCTGTGGGATTTAGGTTGTGATCACTTCAATGCATGCAGTTGTATCTCCTATCTTGCATTTATTAATTTTCTGGTCAAGTTCTGTAACTTTTGCCTGGGTGACCTTGCTGTAGCCCCAGCAAGGAGTCAATTCTGCCCCACAGTACCCAAAAAGCCCCTCACGTTTAACGGAGGAGAGTAACTTGTTGCATTGTGGGCAGAATAGCCTCACTGTTTTGTGCAGCTCTTAGCTTGAAACAATTAACCGATATGAGCCCTACAACAAAGTGATGCCATTTTGGCATGTCAATGTCTGTCAATAGCAAGCACAATATTTCACATCAGTTTGCACGTTTTCTCTTTCAGATAATAGTAATAATCAATATCTTTTGTTCTTTATATAAGGAGATAAGTATCGAGATCAGACTTCACTGTCTCGGGAGCTAATTTCAAAGTGTTCCTATGCTACCTTTATCTTTAAACGATTTTTTAATTATTATTCTCTGCTGAGATTACAAACTGGCATTCAGTTGAATTACTGGCTAGATATTTCCAAACATTTTCTGTTTGCTTCGACTAGAAAGCTATTTTATCCAGCCTGTAAAATGTGTGGGGTTTTTTGTAGCTGCTTCCCGCTGTGGCAAGTCACACTCCCTCATCTTCACTAAAACACACACAGATTCTCCCTCGCATTCTCTAGGTGAGACTAAGAGCCAAAAGCTTCAGCTTGTTAGGGCTGAATCTGCATCCCTTACGTACCCACAAGGCCTGCAGAAATCACCAGGAGTTTAGCAGGCTTACAAAGGTCAGGAGTTGAGCTTCTGTAGGCCAAGTTCTGCTTTGGGTTACAGCGATGTCTCGCGTCAGTACTGGAACTGAATATTTACAACGCTGTAACCTAGAGTAGGTCATGCGCCTAAATTTCTTTCACGCTTTTGCCTGTAATTTACCTGTAAGGCAAAAGAAAGTACTTGGGAGTCACTGTTCAAAGGGAATCAGTATATGACCTGTGCCATTTCAGTGCTTTGAGGAGTCTGAACACATTAGGAAGTAGTGTGAATCATTTTCATGTGTTGAATTCCTGCTTGTAGCAGAAACAAAGCGTTTTCTTTACATCAGCAAGTCCAGATTCTGTATGTGTTCTGCCCAGGCAGGAGGACTATTTAGCCATAATGTTCTTTCAAGTTAGAGTTTTGTATTACAGTGAAAACCAACATTTTTTAATTTGTGATAAACCTGTATTATAATGCCTTATTTATTTTTAATCTTGTACAGTGTTACAAAACAACAGAAAACATTGGCCTTTCATGTATTATTCACTTTAAAAGATGTATTGTATTATGAAATTTTGTAAATAGTTTTAGCTCAGACAGGTAATTGCATGTACACTTGTATAAAAACAGGCAAAAAGGCACACTTTTAACAAATGTTAACAGTTTTTGTAAGAGACATTTTACATGTGCATGGAGATTATAAATCCTTTGGAAATGGATGTCCTTTTGCTTTTCCTTGCAATCTACTGCATGCCACTCATGCCTGAATTCAGTAAAACAAAACAGTAAGTTTTCCTAAATGTTTTTTGACATATCACTTCTGGCACAGAGTTAAATCCACTAGTTGCATGTGCGTTCAGCAAAGCAAAATCAAAATGCAAACAGCAAATAAAGAAGAAAAATAATTTAATGATTGTGATCTGCCAACCTCAGTGTTCCAAGATCCATAATAC